AATTTTGTAGCTGAATTAGGTGTTTGTTGCTTTTTTGGAGGGCACATAGAATTGTGACAGCAAAAGTTTGGACAAGCCTGGGACATTTCAGGCAGTTCAGAATGTGGCACTTCCACTGAAGCCAGTAATACGAGTCCTACCATTTCAGCTTCTGCTTTTACAAGCTGCTGATTATGAGGGAAGGGTTCATCTTAGTGCCTTTCAAGTCTGCTAATATCTAACTATCTACTTACAGCCTGTGATACCACTTACCATTAGCATGATTATGTTTTCTCTCCTTGAAAACAACCTATTGTTACAGGGCATCCCTACATAGCCAGCTGTAGAGATGGAGATGGCATAACAACCAAATATTCACATTTTATTAGATAGGGATTTTATTAGTCTTAGTACAATTTCCCTGTGGCATTTAGTGGTAGATTATTGGCTTTTAAAATGTCACTTGACTGGAATAGAAGTTAATTAGAGGCTTGAAGTGTCTAGAAGGTATGTCAATTTTCTATAAGTAATGACTAGCTAGTCTTTGACCACAAGAAAGAACACAATTAATGAATGTACTAGGTCTGTGATAGAATACACGTTTTAAAAGTCAGTATTTGGACTTTCATGAAATGTGGTTAAAGTTTCATCTATTCCTTAATGAACAAACAAAATAGCAGTAGTGTAGTTTTCATAAGTACTTAAATTTAAGTTTTAATAACAGATAAAAATAACATTCATATTTCAAGTCAACCTTTAAAAATACATGTCATTTTTACACAAATAATTTCTTGTTTTAAGTTTTGAAAAATTTTTAGGCTTTCATAGTAAATATTCTTTACTTAATAAAGTTTGTGTCAAAGTGTGTGTGTGTGTGTATGTGTGTGTGTGTGTGTGTGTGTGTGTTCTGTTTTGTGTCATTTGGCTCCAGGAGAGCTGTCTTCTGTTTTACTGCCATTGTTGTTTCTCTAGAAACAGGTACTTGAGGTGATTGTTGTCATCGTGACATATTAAACATGGCTTATGTTCGCCTCCTAGTTATGTGTGTCAGACAGTTAAGTTGCAGTTTCTTGTCCACTCTTCCCAGATCAGGACAGCGATTATATGGTTAAAACTGACCCTTTGCCAACCCTACAAGGTACTGCAAATGTATGTCCTCCAGTGTTTCCTTCGCAAGGGCATCCACTGTCTGTGTGTTGCTAAGAGGAAAAAAAAAAAAAAAAAAAAAAAAAATGCTTGGAATTTACAAAAAAAAAAAAAAAAAAAAAAAAAAAAAAAAAGAATGCTTGGAATTCTCTAGTACATACATAGAAGTATTGGGAGTTGACTCTAGCCCAGCTGGCTTCAGACAGAGGATGATCTTGAAGTTTTGATCTTCCTGACTCTACCACCAGATTGTGACACGTGTGGGCTACCATACCCAGTTTATGTATCACTAGGGATATTATCCAGTGCCTTCTGTGTGGTAAGGAAGCACTCTACCAACTCAACTACATCCCCAGCCTCTAATACTTTTTATTTTTATTGCATCTTATTTATTTATTTTGTGTGTGTTTGGGTATATGTATGTGTGTGGGTACATACATGATACGGCACACATGAAGAAGTCAGAGGACCAAGGAGCTGATTCTTTCCTTCCACCGTATGGGTCCTGGTGATTGAACTTAGGTCAAAAGGTTGGCAGCTCAACTTGCTGGGCCCCCTAATATTTCTTAGTTTAAAAATGTTTAAATTTATAGAACTATTGAGTTTATTATTTACACTAAATATGTAAGTTTAATTAATTTAATTTTTCTTATACAGAGGAAAGACTATATTCTGAGTTTTGTCAAGAATATATTTCTATACTTATCTTCTTATTCTGTCTTTGTCTCTGATACTAAATTTTTCTCATAAGGAAGCACTTCAATTTGCATCCATTTTTGGTTTGACTTTTTGATTTCATTTTTATTTGAATTTGCCTTTGTGGAAGTATTATGAATAATGCCATGGAGTTGCATATACTCTTTGATGTTTGGCATTGCTCTGCTCCTTTCTTAATAGAGATACAAGGCCTTCTTGTGATTACCCTACCATGGTATAGTTTCTCAAATTTGCTAGATGTTTCATACTTCATTTCTTCCTAGCAACTGGGAGGTAAAGCCATTTTCATCTGATCACACTGTGGAGAGTTTTCCTTTAAACTCAACTTAGGGATTCTTAAATTGATATTTCTCTTTAGACAATATTGCAAAGCCCTTAGTAATACCTAAATGGTATCTTAGAAAATTAACACATTATGGTATTAAACTTCAGGGATAGACACTAACACATTGATGTAAAAAATGGCCAAAATGTTTGCTTGCATTATTTGGTTTAGACTGGACTTCCAGAGGAAGAACCAACCCTGAAGAGTTAGTCATAGAGAATATCATATAAACTACAAAGTCACTAAGTTATTTATATTGTCCTAAATCCTAACCTGATAATTGTCTC